CCCCGCCCAGCCCAGCCCAGCCCAGCCCAGCCCAGCCTACCTAACCTACCTACCTACCTACCTACCTACCTACCTACCTACCTACCTACCTACCTACCTACCTACCTACCTACCTACCAACCACCTACCTACCTACCTACTTACCTACCTACCTACCTACCTACCTACCTACCTACCTACCTACCTACCTACCTACCTACCTACCTCTACCCTACCTACCTCTACCCTACCTACCTCTACCCGACCTACCTCTACCCTACCTACCTACCTACCTACCTACCTACCTACCTACCTACCTACCTACCTACCTACCTACCTACCTACCTACCTACCTACCTACCTACCTACCTACCCACACACACCCACCTAGCTGACAAACTCGCCTGCCTACCTACTTACTTGCATATCTCATACAAACACGTGCATTTACGCACAGGTGAATGCATGCCCAAAAACACTCAGATGCTCAAACACGAACATGAACACGCAACATGTGTCTGCACACAACCAGGCTAACGTAGAACGCCTACCTGCCCCCTGGCACCGACATAAATTTCCATGCACACACACACGCACACGAAAACACACCCACGCATACACTCACGCACGCCCCTTGCACAGTGCTAGACATGCAGAGCACATACTCTTGTGTCACGATGTGCGCCGAAAAGACGATCACGCGCGAGAGCGAGAGAGGGGTCAACAAAAAGCTAAACACCAAAGACCCTGCAATATTATATTATATTATATTATATTATATTATATTATATTATATTATATTTTATTATATTTTATTATATTATATTATATTATATTATATTATAAGACCCTGCACAAACAGGACACGTGGACAGTTTTGGGTGTCTCGCCTGGCACCTCAAATCGAGCGCCTGCGTGCACGTAGAGGCCTCGGTCCGGAAGTCAAAACTGCAGACCGTTCAGAGCCGAAGAGGCTGCGAACTCTACCACCTTTGTCTGTATTTAATTGTAGTATTCATGTCAATAGAGAAGATAGTAATTCATTCTAGATTGACAACTCCAATGTAGGGGCCTTCACAATCAGAATAGGGTTTTGGGGGCTTCTTAATATGATTATAATATACTATAGCCCCGAACCCTATTCTAATTATTAAGGCTCCTTTATTACCACCTTTGGCAACATGATATGAAGTAAAAGAAACGTCTTGCAAGCACCAGCAGAGAAGTGATCAGAAGAAGGGGCCTGGGCCTGGGTTGAAGGCTCGGGCCTTCCAGGGGTTTAGGGTTTAGGGTTTAGGGAATGTGAGAACTATTCTAAACTGTCCGGTGAATCTCAAGTCTCCACAATAGCGCCAAAATATGCATTCTTGACTATTCCTAAGGGGCCCATAGTCATGCACCAAATGCAAACAGTAATCCTACGCAAGATGCCAAGGAACGACTGTCGGGAAATGGATGCTTTGCTTACTTGATACACGATTTCGAGGCTTGCGGGTTCCACCACGGCATTATGTGTGGGGTGCCTCTCGAACTAAAGTTTGTGAGCTGGGCGCAAGAAAGAGAACTTCGATGCAGCAGCCGTATCCTTAAGCCTGGCAGTAAGTGACTGACGCTAACATAGACCCTAAGTAAAGTAAGCTTCCTGAGAAACGGACCGGCACCCCTCAAAACTCGAAGCACAGAAACCCCTACACCCGAAACCCTGAACTTTCCCCTGAACCCTAAAACCCCGAACCCTAAAACCCAGAAGCCCTAAACCCTATACCCTAAACCCTAAACTCTGAACCCTAAACCCTGAACCCTAAAACCCAGAAACCCTAAACCTTATACCCTAAACGGCCCTAAACCCTAAACCCTGAACCCTAAAACCCAGAAACCCTGAACCCTCCGCCCGGGGTTCCCGGCCCAGGCGAGCCGTGAGGCCCTGCTTGTCAATGGAGGCGATCTTCATACCTGGAAGAAACCATACTTTAGGGTTTAGGGTTTAGGGTTTAGGGTTTAGGGTTTAGGGTTTAGGGTTTAGGGTATCTTGGAGGTTCATGGGTAGTTATAAGTGGGGTTATAAGTCCCCTAATATGGGTTATAGTTATAGTTACCCTACTTATAACCCGACTTATAGCTACCCATGAACCTCCAAGTAACCCAACGAACCCAATACCCCCCTTAAAGAAGGAATATACCTTAACCGGAATCTCAGCCCCCTGCTTTGCCCCCGAAAAAGCAATCATGCAGTTCAGCCTCCGCCCCAAAAACCCGAAAGCCCTCAGCCCCTACTTGGAGGTTCATGGGTAGTTATGAGGCTCCTTTAAGGGAGGGTTCTATAAGGGCTCTATAAGGGGTCCGTCCGATAAGGGGTCTATCAGGGGTCATATTTGGAGGTTCATGGGTAGTTATAAGTAGGGTTCTAAGTAGCGTAAGTATAATAATAGCCCATGTTAAGTGACTTATGACCCCACGAAAAGCTACCCATGAACTTCCAAGTAATGTACCATAACATACCGTACTCTACTATAACAGACTGTAGTGGCTTTTACGTAATCTACTCTAACATACTAGAATGCATTATCATTTACCGTAATCTATCATAATGTACTATAATCAATGTGCTCTAACCTACGATAATGTACTATAGTATACTGAATAAACGATTGCTACAAGATAACTCTGATTCTAAGCCCCACTTCCTGGTTCAGGTATATGTAGACTCCTGGCTATAGACCTCCTACTCCTTGAGGGCCTTGATATGGATCCCAGAAAATTGCTTCATCCAGGCGGGTCTAGAATAGCTGTTCGGCGTTGGGGGCCCTTACTACCAAGACTCACGAAATATGTGCCCTCATGACGACACACGAGAGTAAGGCATTAAATGGCATCAAGATGGTGATAGTGCAAGCCAGTATAACGTGTCCTGCCATGGTGCCGTTCGGCACTGCATGAACAAGCTAGCATCAAGATGACGCTAGTCCGCACTCTGTCAGGCTACCGCATTGTGCATAGCGAGCATCATGTTACACAACGTTAGGTGCAGCTCAACTGTCTTGATGCATTCCATTACAATGACATGCAACTGCATGCTATCACAACCCACCGCAGTCGTGTCCGATCTGTCACTTTTGGATGTATTCTGCCACTTACCATAGCCGTTTAGCAGCATCTAGTAGATTGCCGTACATGCTATCATTTTCTACTCCACCTCTTGACATGATTATCGAAGCTGGATGACTAGCTTCGCCGTGCTTGCACCTCCCCCCACGCCTCCAGCCCAATGGCTTCCGAAAGATCGAAACTTCTAGCAGCACACCAGCATCTTCCACCTGCCGCCGAGCAGCCATTCTCGAGTTTGGAGAACTCGAACTTCGGCTGCGTCAGGGCAGGTGCAGGCGGGTCCAACAAAATGCTCCTGTCCAGCGTGGTGCCTGCGAGGAGGGCAGAGCTTCGGCGGCTTTTTCGAGACTTGGAGGTTCATGGGTAGTGATAAGGCTCCTTTAAGGGATCTATAAGAGGGTTCTATAAGGGCTCTATAAGGGTCCTATAAGGGGTCTATAAGGGGTCATACTTGGAGGTTCATGGGTAGTTATAAGTAGGGTTATAAGTAGGGTAACTATAACTATAACCCATATTGGGGGACTTATAACCCCACTTATAACTACCCATGAACCTCCAAATAGTTTTCAGGGAAGGGAAAAGGCGCCATGTGTGACCACTCGGGATGTGTTTGGTTCACTTTGAGCACACAGGCCTGCTGCAGGAACAACAATCCCCTGAAAGCCTCCGGCTCCCGTGGTTGCGTAGCTGAATGAGACGTCGAAATGCAAGGCGAAACTTCCCGAAATTGTGCACTGGCCCTTCAGGAGAAGCTGTCAGTAGAAGTGCCAGCAATGCCAAAACCATGAAGCCTGCTAGCCAAACTTGAAGCCTCAGATGCAGATCTAGGGTTCAGGGTGTAGGAACATCACCGTCACCCGTTACCCGTCTCTCTCCCCCCCCCCCCGCCCGCCTTGGTACGGATTGGGCTCAGCCTCCTTGAACTCATAGAAGCTATAGTCTGGCAACTCCATCATCACCTGGTCCAGCAAGGAAATGCTCAAAAGCTAGCCTACTGTACAGAGGCGTGAATATTATGATCTGCAAAGTACATTTTTTGGATCCAGGATACCAGAACGATGCAGGGACGAGGAGGGGATACTATTGCGTCTCTATGGATAAACATGTGGTTTTTCGGGGTTTAGCGGCTTTCAGTTTAGGGGTTTAGGGGTTCAGGGTGTAGGGTTTCGCGTTTCGGGTTGAGGGTCTAGCCATCGAAGAGTCCACATGATGGTCTCAACTGAGACGTCCCTGCGATGTCTTTCGCCTCCGGGCCTTCAGGGGTTTCCTGCTGAAGTTTTGAAGCACCCCTGACAAAGCCCTATGTAGAGCCTATCTCAAACCCTAGCGAGGTGCGGCAAGAGGCAGAAGCCTTGAGATCTCAGGCCTTCTTCGCGACTATGCTTTGGCCCAGGCTTGGGAGAGCGTCAACTGTGGGTCTCAGCACACAGCCTTGCGCCCTGAAAATGAGCACCTCAAGAGTTTGGGGTCGGGGTTGACTTCGCTCTCCCGTGGATCCTGACACTCCAAAGGGCGCGCGTGCCTTCTCCACGTCCTCCTTGACAAACTTGACCTGTGAGGAGCGAGGGAAGAAACCGCTCTTAGCCCCCGATGCAGATCTGCAGGTGCAGAAGACTCCCCGAACCCTCGAATCCGAAAACGGATCGCATCGTTTCCCGGGCTTCGGACGGCGGAATCCTTCTTGATAGACCAGCGGACAACCAAATAAGTCGTGTTCTTTCTACAATCCTTTTTGTGGCCACGTCCTCCATAAACGCCCCAGCCATCCCAACTTCCCATACGCTGGCGTGACCAAAAAGGCATGTGCAGTTTGGATGAAGATCATGCTCTCGCCACTCTCCCGTGCTCTTTGTTGCCTTCGAAGCGCTCGAAGTCGCACCAAGACGCCACGAAATCCCTCTGTCTTGACGGGTTGAACATGATTCTCCCCCCCACTTTGCCGTGCATGGGACTCGTATTCAATGCAGGGTGCCACTCGTGCTCACCCGGTTTACACTGGCATAATTCGGCCTTTTGTTGGAGATCTTCAGTGTGGAAAACCCCTTCATGGTTTTAATACCCTATTCTCTGAAACCCTAAACCTGGAAACCACCTCCCCTCGTTCGCCTTGCTTTCCCGCCATTCTGCCGCTCTTGCTTTTTTTCTTTCGAGTCTTGTTGAGTGCTTTCCACCTTACTTTTTTCCCGGTCCGTCCCAACTGCACTGCCGTCGATGCGCCGCAAGCACACGGTCTTTAACGTTTGCGTTCGCCTCGGCCCCGGCCGATTCAGCGCATACGTGTCCGGGCCGAGGCGGGCAAAGCGAAGCGTTTAAAATTTCCTATATTATTCCTTAGGGCTCCTGATTATAATTATAGTATAATGGGCCCCTAAACCCCATTCTAATTATTGAGGCCCCCTATATTATACTCCTGGACGGAGCCCGGTCCATGCATACTCTATTCAGGACGAGCATGAAAGTAGAGTTCTTGCCATAACATCACTGCTGGAAATAGTCGTCCGCAGAGTTCCCCAAGGGATTTCTTGCATGAGATGGCAAAACCGAAGTCGACTTAGACTTGTTCAGGCCGCTACAGTGAACTGGCATATGAACCTCTCGACCATCACCTGCCTAATCGGCCGGAAAGGCGGATGAGTACAGGGCTTAGGGTTCAGGGTTTAGAGTTTAAGGGGTTCAGGGTTTAGTCCTTTTCTTTTAACCCGGGTTTAGGGTTTAGGGCTTAGTTTTTAAGGGTTTTGAAGGCCTGAACACCCCTAAAAACCGCTTCGGGTTTCGGGCTTCTCAGCTGGGGAAATAGACGCTCTCAACAAGGTCCCGAGAAAGAGACCATTAGGTAGCGTTAAGAAGGGTCCTCCGTAAGGCGCCTCGCTAATGCTACCTAGGAGAAGACTTTAGTAGTAACCTTGTAGGGTAACTATGGTTATCAGGGTCTACCTCTTAGGATAATTAGGGTTACTAGTAGTAACCTTGTGGTAATTAGGGTTATGAGGGCTATCCTTGGGTAACTAGGGTTACCACGGCTAACCTTATAAGGTAGTTAGGGCTAGCAGCCTAAACCCTAAACCCTAAACCCTAAGGGGTCTTCGGCTCTCTGTGAAGGCCTCCTTGAAGCTCACGGCAGGAACAGCGGCCACATGGCGGCACGCCAGGAGGGTGGACCTGGCTAGGGTCCCTTCTCGGAGATTCCAAAACCCCTCAATTAAGGAATAGACCTTCCCTAATATACTAATATGATTTAAGTATATTCCTTAATTAAGGAGTTTTGGAATCCTTCATTAAGGAATATACCTTCTCTGATATGATTTGAAGTATATTCCTTAATTCAGGAGTTTGGTAGTCTCTGGGTTTACAAAGCCTCATCCTAGGGCTACGGGTGCATCGTGCTGCAGGGTTGATGACTCAAGAGGTAGAAAGGTTTTAAGGCGTTTGGGGCTTTGGGCGTTTAGGGTTCCTTGAGTGTCCATACCTCCCTTTGGGAGCTTTACATCGCTTCAGAGACCCCTCGCAGAAGTTCAAAACCAGCGTGAAAGAAGTGAATATTGAAAGAGATGCACGCCAGAAGTTCAATAAAAGTGAAAGATCTCGAAGCTCCGAACTCCACCAGAGCTCGCACTCCGGCACCCTGACAAGGCTTGCCGTCGGTCTTAAAGGAGCTGTACCAAGTTACAGGCTCTGCGACTCTACAACTCCGAAGTCGCATTCCGCAGTCCCGCCTTTGCCCAAAGGCCCTCTTTCCCAAGGTGGAGAGCATCGTAGAAAAGGACCTGAAGGGCAACGCTGGGAATGTGTATGCTTCGGGAGTGCATTCGGGGAGCGCTCCTTGGATCGCAAAGTCTTCTAGGGTCCCTTAAGGGTATATATAGGGTATATAGTAGGTATATTAGGGTCCCAGAGTTAAGGGCCCATACTAGGGGCCCATGGAAACTACCTTAGACAAAGCCTCCAGCAACGTGAAACGTGCAGGTCTTGGCAGAGAGAGAGAGAGAGACAGCATGAGGTGTGCCTTTGGCTTCAGCATGGCCACCTGCCTAACATGGCGATGACGACGACAATAACAATGACGATGACCATGGGGATGATTATGATGGTGGTGGTGGTGATGAAAATAGGAGTTTCCGAAACTAAGGGGTGCCTGTCCTTATAGTAAGGATCCTACTATTTGGGGGTACTATATTAGGGTCCCTATTTTCGGAAACCCCCAAATCGACCTTCTTCTTCGTACCTCCGACCGTTCGGTTTGCTCCTGCCTTGCTGTGCCCTTCCCGGCTTCCGAGTCCCCAGCACGGCCGACAAGCACGGCACGGGGCAGGCCGGGATCGTGGGGGTGGCCGACTGAGCCAGGCAGAGACAACCAAAACAAATCCTTGGGCTTCTAAACGCGAAGGCGAACGAGGGCTTTGATCGTTTTACGTTCTACAAGGATGAAGGGCTCTCGGCAAGTGAAAATCATACCAAGGCACAGGAATTTGGCCGCTTGGTCGTCGTGGCGCTTACCGAGAGAAAGCTCCTAACTCAACCGAGCTGACGTCTTAAAAATCGAGACGGGGGCTGTTGCGAGGTCAACTTAAATCCAGAAGCTGTCTGTGCCAACCGAGTGAAGGCTCGGGCGTGGCTTCTCTGCCGTGCAGGCTCGTGGAGCTTTTATGAAGCGGGGCAGAACCCAGAGTCTTAAGACCAAGAGCACCGGCAATCTGACCAACGCATCCGGCAAAATCCCCGAAAACTGCAGCTCGCTCGAAGATGTAGACTCAGAAAAGCAAGCCTGAAACCCCAACCCAACAACCCCGGAAACCCAAAGGGGGGGGGGGGGGGGCGC